TCGCATCCAAGAATTTAGCCAAATGAGAGCTCCATCCCTTAATAATATCTCTCAAATCAAACAATGATATGTAATTTATCATGCTGTCATATACTATTGTCTTCAGGGATGGGAGCTGAAGCTCGACGAGAAGCCAATGAGTACGTTCCAAAATTGGGATAAACACCTACAATCATAAGTAATAATTCAAATTGCGCACTTATTTATGAACACCTTTAAAATATTTTAAAAAAATAAATACTAACCTTATCGACCTCCCACCATGCAGGATAAAGTTTAGCTTGTCCATTAGCCAACACATATGATTACTGTCGTTGATTCTTCAAGTGAACTACGTGAAAAGACGTCGGCATAATTGTATATCACGTATTTTTTTTTTTATTTTTATTTTTCTTCAAAGCCCTTACTATTAGAAGACGTGACACCCATGCATCAATATGTTGTTTTACAAAAAAAGACATATATTAGTGAATTACATAAATTTAAAAAAATTAATCAAAATGAAATATAAGAAGAAATATATAAGACTTACCCCCCATCGATATAGCCATTGTCTTCAACCCCTAATAACACACCCCACCAAGACCATTCAATCAACAAATACATATCATCGTTGAGTTTGTATATGTCAGCGTAACATCCTTGGCTCCGCTCATGTAGATAAAAATCAACTGCGGTCTTAGCCCAAAGGGTATTATCCAGAATTATTTCCGGTAGTTGTTTCCTCTCCACTTCATCTGTCGGAATGGTACTGGCCGGTAACTTATACGACAGCCAACAGTCATCCATCATGTCCGGTACGTGAGGGGGTTTCTCAATAATTCGATATATTATGCCGTGTGAATTGGGCACTAGAATGTTGGGAGGGACCTCTTCAACGATGATAGTGGCCTCTAGAACGGTGGGAGGGGACTCTTGAGGGATGATAGGGGCCTCTTGAACGATAGGGGAGGCCTTTTGAACGATGACAGGTGAGTCGGGCTTTTTCTTACGGATTCTTCACACTATTGGGGTGAACGGAGACTTAATGGCATGTGCACGCCGTCTGATGCGTGAACTCCGTCTTCCAAGAAAAACCTGACGTAGAGCATCCACCTTAGCGGGCCGCTAAAAATAAATTAATACATAAATCAGTAAATAAACAGACATGATATTAAACAGTGAAAACAAAGACAAATATATTTCAAACTTGAACGGTATTCACCCAAGTCATTATTCTATCATTGTTCACAAAATGCATCATATAACATTCTAGAAGTAATCACTTATATAAACATTTAAAAGGACAATATATAGGTTTAGTGCAGGTTCAATGACAACATAAAGAGTAGAAGTTTATTCTTGAAACTTAAATTTTCAACACTGTGAAGTTAGTATTTGTCTTTGTCTTTTGGTTGAAGTAATGCAATTCATTCAAGTTTCAATTTGCAGAACAATAATAGAATCTGAAACTTAAAATCGCAACACGAATGACTATCGCAACACGAATTTGACTATCGCAATGCGATTTTCATTTCGCATTGCGATTCTTTCGTTGCGATAGTCAAATTCGCGTTGCGATAGTCATTTTCGCGTTGCGATAGTCATTTCCGCGTTGCGAAAGTAAACTATTCTTCTTCTGCAAATTGAAACTTGAATGGATTGCATTACTTCAACCAAAAGACAACCAAAAACAAATACTAACTTCACAGGGTTAAAGAATAAATAGTTTAGCAGTATTGACAGCAACTGAATGAATTTACTAAGCAATCTAAGTGAAATGGTTAATCTAAGTGAAATTACGAGTAAATTTATCATCACGTTAAATATGAAAAATATTAAACTTACCTCGTTGCGTAGAGTATGAACCTCATTCTGGAACAATGCTACCATCTCACGTAGAGCGATTACCTCACCACGTAAAGTAGACACCTCAAAACACCATGCACCATTGCCATCGCGTAAAGTACCGACCTCCTCACGCAAGGTATTGACCTCATCACGTAACTCCCCTAAATCATCCCGTGAAGGTGGATGTGGAGAACAGGGAGATAAACGTCGTGGCATCTTTACCGGTCGCCTATCATGAGGTGATGGTGGAGAAGAGGCTCGATGATGTGACATAATAGGTGATGGCTCACGTTGTGGAGGTGTATAGTCGGGTCGATCAGGTGATGGCTCTGGGTGAGGTGATGGCTCTCGAAGTGGAGGGTTGCTCATCATCCGTGCCATAAAAAAACACTTACTAGCTTGCCACCAATCAGTGCTAAGCTCAGCTTCCGTGGGTGTCAGCCTCTGTAATGGAGTGTTGGACTCCTAACAATATAAAAGCTCAAACAAAGTTAAATGTGTACTAGTAATAACTTGTTTATAAACATATGGTAGTATTTGTGTTAACTTACATTATTTATTGTCGTATACGGTAGTAAATCTTTCCATTGCTGCAAGATCCGTTTCCTCTTCCAGGAAATAGCCCTAGGAATATCATTAGCAGTTTTTAATACATATATTTGCATGGCGGGAAAGGCCTCAAATATCCAAATCTACAAACAATATAATAACAAACATTAGTAATTGTTAAATAATAATTAATTATAATTTTGGAAACATTATATAAAAATTCTTACCTTAAAGGCCCAAATAAATCCTGACAAAGTGTATTTGGAACCATCGCCACGCAAACTTTTTTCGATCATCAAAGGCAGACGACAACTTATTAGCTTTCCATAGATACGAACCCCATGGAAACAGGTTCCATGCATTTAGGTCCTCTACCAATTTAATTAGATCATTAGGAATAGGTTGTCTGGCCTCTCTGCCTAAAAAGCCGGCATACAAAAGTATTAGAAGGCATACTCGGACAACATTGACGTCATCAATCCGAGTAAAACCATCTTTCTTATTCAATAATCTCGTCAAGTCTTCCACGTGTAAATTCGGCTCATCCATTGACAGCTCAGAAAAACCCGGGATAACCATGATAGGCGGGTAATATGTCTAGTGTACCGACCTACATCATCGTGTTCGAAGCGTAGACCGGTGATTAAGCAAAACTCCTCCCGCCCAAAACACGTATACGCCGGTGGAAAATCAAACCATATCTCTTCATCACGACGTTGTATAGTCTCTGGTAGATCGCTAGTCATGGTTTGAAGAAACATGTGGGTCAACATAGCATCTCCACTTGGATATTGTACTTTCAGCCATGGCCCGAAGCAAGTATCCTCAAATATTTTTCTTTGTGCAGGTGAAAGATTCGACGCAATTGTTTTGGCCAGGCTTAATTTATTTCTTAAGGTCAATTGAGCCAAATAAAAGTTCTACAAAAACAATAAACATACCAAGTTAGATATACCAAGAACAATAAACATAAAGAGTAGTAGTTTAGTCTTCAAACTTAAATTTGCAACACTGTGAATTTAGTATTTTTCTTTGTTTTTTTGTTGAAGTAATGAAATTCATTCAAGTTTCAATTTGCAGAAGAAGAATAGTTTCTGAAACTTAAAATCGCAACACGAAAAATGAAAATCGTAACACGAAAATGACTATCGCAACGCGAATTTGACTATCGCAACGCGAAATGAAAATCGCAACGCGAAACTAAAATCGCATTGCGATTTTGTCGTTGTTATTTTCATTTCGCGTTTCGATTCTCGGTTTCAAATACTAAAATTGAAACTTGAATGGATTGCATTACTTCAACCAAAAGACAAAACAAAGACAAATACTAAATTCACAGGGTTTAAAGACTAAACAGTTTAGCAGTATTGGCAGTAATCGAATGAATTTAATAAGCAATATAAATGAAATGGTTAATCTATTATTAAAATTACCAGTAAACTTATCATCAATTTCAATATGAAAAACCTAATAATAATGCAAAATTTTTAAAATAAAAATAATTAAAAACTAACTCTTGGTGGTTGATTTGGTTGATTTTCCATTTCTGACCGTGAATGATTGTGAGGGTGGCTCTGAGAGATAGAGATAGACGGATTTCGCCGGAGATGGGGACTGATTTCGTCAGAGATGGGGACGGATGTCGCCTTAGAGAGTGAGAGATAGAGATGAGGCTGAGTTGTAATTTAGGGTTTTAGGTTATGAGTTGCGATTACGGGATATACTGTGGACGGTTCAGTGTTCCGATATATTAATATTCGTGTTTGGTATTTGAAAAAAAATACGCGTTGCGATAATAATGGCGCTTTGAAAATCGCATTGCGACAGTCAGAATCGCGTTGCGATAGTCAGAATCGCATTGCGATTTACATATTCGCGTTGCGATAGTCATACTCGCATTGCGATTTACATATTTGCATTGCGATAGTCGGAAAATCGCAACGTGAATTTGGAAAATTGCAATGCGATAGTTAGAATCGCGTTACAAATCTGGAAACTGATTTGCGATACCGGAGATCGCGTTGCGAATTATCGATCGCATTGCGATTTAGTTGGTCATTTTGGCAAATCCAAAAAAAGTTGGTTAAAATCGTATATTATAAGACATTTTTGGTCACTGAGGTTATTTTCTCTATTTTTATTCTATAAAATTACAAAAATAATATTTTAATAATAATATTGAAATAAATAATATTAAATTATTTTACTATTTAAAAATAATAATATTTAGGGTAAATTATGCATTTAGTACCTAAACAAACAGTTTTGATCCGTTCTAGTACCTAAAATTTTAATTTTTTTTTCAAAATCATATCTAACGTATAATTGTCAAAATTAAAAATTTTATGATATAAACGAATCAATAGGCAAAGTTAAGTAAGATCGGAGTAATTTTCCCTATATTATGTCAGAGTATCCTTAATATATTTAATATTAATTTAGGTAGTGATATTTTAATTGTTTATATTATATAAATTTTAAAATATTTTTTTTAACTAATCGAATACTATAATATCCAACCGTTATTGCAAAAGCACGAAGGTTCAAAGAATGAATTGTAGAAGATTCATTTTAGCACACTGCAGCCGTTTAAAATACTCCCATAACCCTGGCTGAAAGATGCCATACTTTGAAGTCAACGTGGGAAATCAGTCGCTCGACCACGCTGTGCCTATATAGAAGCTAAACTATAATACTTTGGGGGCAAGAACATGAGATATATGTAACCCAGTTCTCTGAAAGTGAGATAGATTAGGGATATTAATGGGGGAAGATAAAGGAACTGTTTGCGTCACAGGAGGAAAAAGCTACGTTGCCTCCTGGCTCATCAAGATGCTTCTCCATCAGGGTTACTCTGTTCATACCACTGTTCGAGCTGATCCAGGTAAACTCATTAAAATCTTATCAATCTAATTTGTATTAATCAATAATCCCTTTGAGTTATTTTTAAATTCGGCTATGTTCAGGAAACAAGAGAGACCTTAGCTTCCTCACCGGCCTTCCAGGATCCGACGAGAAGCTCAAAATTTTCGATGCAGATCTCGACAGTCCCGATAGTTTTGACGCCGCAATTGAAGGATGCAAAGGAGTTATCCATGTTGCCGCTCCCGTGGATTTCCCTGCCAAGGATCCGGAGGCAGTCGTGACGCAAAGAGCATATGCATCATGGTGGTAAATGTATGCAAACAATGGGAACTGATTGTTTCATTTGATGCATGGTGGTCCTTGGAATAAATTGTAGTGTCTTTATACTGTTATCTGTTAGTTAATTGCAGAGATCAATTTAACTCTGTTCAGGGAAAAGCAATGTATTTTCTGTTGGATTTCCATGCATGGGAGCTTGTGTTTTCCTGAAGAATGAACTGTTCATCGATTTATTTCTTAATGAGAACGAATAAAATTCATGAATATATCCTCGATCGTACAATCCAATTGATATCGGTAATTCTTCGTCTGAATTTTCGCTTATCTAATGGTCTGGATCCCAGATTTTGAACATTGCCAAAACTGACGGACAATCCAATAAAATTAACGGCCATTCTCACACTGCGCCATCTTTCACTCGTACAAGTGCAAATGCAGGCACTATTTTTCTTTCCATTTTCTCTCTAGCTTTTTCTTTATCGTTATTTTCTTTCTATTTCCCCTTCGATTTTTTTTGAAATTTTATATTCTTTTTTAGATCTGGAAATCGTCTTGTTTTGCTTTAGAAAAAATCGACGGATTTCATAATCAGTGATGTCGTTTTCGGATTCCGAATCTTCACATGGGAAGGAATACAAGGTCTTTCGTCAGTTCAGCCGCGATCGTATGTCTCTCCATTTGAACTAGTTTTCTTTACCTTATTTTTTTCTGTCTCCCAGTTGTTTTCTGTTTGTTTCTCCGGAATCTCCAGATTTTAAAACCTCAATTTAGAATATTAGAGATCAATTTGCATTCTCGTATCTGAACTAATTCTCATTGATACGATTTCTGATAACAGAGAGGCTAACACTAGCATATAAGTGTGATCACTTACGATTCAAGCATCCTTATCTGAAGGAATTCGGATTATCATTTTCACGACTGATATTCGGATTTTCGCAGGGCTATTATACGAAATGCTTGGAGCTTCATCATCGGATGGTGAAGATCGACTTGGAAGGTACTCATAATGGATAAGTGACCGTCAAAGTCATGTCTCATCGTGTAAAATGTCAGATATCACAGATCAAGGAGTTTCCCGTAAGTATTTTTCAAACATTTATGAGTTATGACATAATGAAGCATATTTTTTTCAAATTGGAACTCACAGTAGATTTTTCTATGTTTTCAGTGGTGGAAGACCTTTTCAGGAGAAGGCAGCCGTTGCCTACCATGGATGCTATATATTTCATGCAGCCAACAAGAAAAGTAATCTTCTTTATCTTTTCCTATTGAATTTCGCTCAACTTTTTAATAACATATTGATATTTATTTCTCCACTGCTTTTGACCTCTGCTTGTCTCGATTGCAAAAGCTGCAACAATATTTCAATACTTTGAACCTATTTTTAACACCATCTTTGCTAGCATGCAGTATTATCATGTTCTTATCTGATAGTCTGGAAGGGAGCCTTTATACAAGAAGTACGTGAATGATTTTTCCCAGAAGCTTTATTCTATTGATTAGTGGTTCAGATCTTTCAGTTTGGAATGAAATTGTTTGATAATTTTATCTGGTCTCCACCATGTCTACCCTTTTTTCCTCCAGGGCATTTATATTCTTCAGCTCACCTGTTCAAAAGGAATTTATTAATCACATCAAAGCCGACACAGCGTGTTACCTCGTATAGGTGCATTAAGAGAGGTCTAATTTCTTTTAATATTAGTTCTTTCAACTTTTTTTAACTCAGATTATTCCCTTTTGATCTGTCATCTAATTTCTTTTTTGATAACATGCAGATGAATTTGGAGTACTTTCCCGTAGATCAGGTAACGCAGGGAATTTTTTACCCTTGCATGTTCTATACCTTTATATATATTATAGCAGAATCTTAATAATCTATGATGGGTATTTGGACACAAAACGTACCCTTCAACGCTAATTTTAATGGCTTATGTGCCATAATGATTACCATTGAAGTTATAGTTTAAATTTACCAGATGATTGATTACTAAGATAGAACCATTGTGTTCTAGGACTGGAATCACAGATGTTTTTGTATGCAACAGGGAACAATGGTTTAGAAGAGTGATGATCGTATAAATTGCCAATGAGCTCCAGTACTCACTAGTTTGGATTAGGGTCTAAGATTAAGGTTTCGTTAATTATTAGAAAAGTACATTTATCCACCAAGATTTTTTGATGCAGGCGTTCATCACTGATCATGATTCAGCCTTGGTAGAACTCTTTAGTGAAGATGCAGAGAAGTCTAAGAATTTCGAAATTTTGTTGAACGTAATGGCAACTCGAATTGCCACAGTTTTTGCCTCGTTGAAGGTGAGAATGGTATAAGAAATTAGTAAGCAACTATGGTGCTTGAATTAAAAGTGAAAGTATGACCTGACTCAGTAATGAATGTCATGTGCCGTTAGCTTAACAATTTATGCTTTATATGCCTTGTAAGCACATGTTATGGCGATTTTTCTTGTGAAAGTAACACTTTCCTTGTAGTCAATATGCTTTACTATGAAATTAATAAACTAGGTTTGGATTTTCAGGAACTTCCATACGTTCGATATCGTGCTCCCAGGGAAGAAGATGGATCTCCAAAGCAACCCGCAGTTTAATTCCTTTAAAGCTTGCCGATACTATTTGGCAATGTATTACAAATTACAAATCTATTCCTAACTTCCCTCAGACCGAAACATGCGATTTGCTTATCTTGGATAGATCTGTTGATCAGGTTAAGAATTGCTTACTCTTGGCATCACTTTCTATTTCTGAGCCATGTGAGGTTGATTCTGTTGAATGCTAGCCACTTTGCATTTTTCAGATTGCTCCAGTGATACATGAATGGACATATGATGCCATGTGCCATGATTTACTTGAAATGGATGGAAACAAATATGTCGTAGAGGTGTCTTCTGGTTAAATTGCTTTTTTAGATTTTCTATCTGCCTCCTTTTTCTGTTTCAAAATTGGTTGTATAACCATGTTTCCTTAGCTTCCTGGCAAACATGGTGGCCCACCTGAGAAAAAAGAGGTCCTTCTTGAAGATCATGATCCTGTTTGGCTTGAGCTTCGTCATGCACACATAGCAGATGTATGTCGTGCACTTGTATTCTCTTTTACTGGAAAGAACATAACTATAATTCTCTTTTCCTCAATTGTCATGTTAGGCTAGTGAGCGCTTGCACGAGAAGATGACCACATTTAAATCAAAGAACAAAGCTGCAAATATTCAGAGGTTAGTGGCTTCACTGCGAACTTCGAGAAATTATAGAAATTATGTATCTGACATAGTTATAGCATGTAAATTATGAGAATTTTTAGTCTTAATCTTAAGCTTGGAAATAGTCAGGAAGTTTGTTTGTTTGTTTGTTTTTTTTTTTGAGATGATAACATCTCTTGTAAACTTCATAAATAGGATTCGTTCAGTGGTATGGCCTGACATAAAGTACTTCTGTGAAATGCAGCGCTGTTTACTACTGTTTCTCTTCATTTTTCTTGATGCATCTTGGCCGACTAAATTTAAACATGGGCACATGGGTACGGAAATATGAAAATCATAGCCCTCCAAATACATGAAAAGATAAGAAAAAATATAACTGTGCCAGACACATTATATCAAGTCTCACGCTCAAACCCTTATAACTCAAGTTTATTCCGGAACTAGATAAGTAGACATATATTCTGGAATTTTCTTCACTTTCTTTTCCTAACTGAAGATTTAGATGCTCCCTTTAAAGTTTTCTTACAAACAAGCATATGATTACAATGTTTTTACTTTACATTGCATCTTATATCCCTTTACTGGTAAATTTAAGTTGTATAGCCATGCAACTTTACCATACATTCTTCCTGTTGATGTTAAGTTCATTGCAGAGATGGTGAAATGTCTACACGAGACTTGCAGAAAATTGTGCAAGCTTTGCCACAATATAATGAAACAGTTGAAAAGCTCACTCTGCATGTTGAGGTTTGCTTCTTATTGAATGCACTATTATATATTTGCGTCTGGGATGTATGTATCCATTCTGAAATTTATGATGTAAATAAGAGAAATCAATATGACTGAGTTTTGGCCACTAAAGCTCAGTGTTATTCACACATTTGAAACTAAAAGTCGTATCAGTTCTTTACGCATGTATGGTTTTAACATCAAGGAAAAACCTCAGCCTGATATACATTCAAGTATTTGAGTAGCGATAGAAGGCAATTAAATACAGGTTTAAGGTGCTTGCAGTTCTTGAAATGAACGGTGAAGATACAAATAAGATCTTATTAAAAAAAGAAGATACAAATAAGATACTTTTGCTGATTGTGTTGACTTATCATTTCAATTACAGATTGCCGGAATACTCAACGAATGTATTAGGGATATGAGGCTTCGTGAGCTCGGGCAACTAGAACAGGATTGTTTTTGGAGATGCCGGATCCAGGAGGTCATCAACCTTCTGAGGACATCGCAGGTAATGCATGGATTGGTGATCATTTAACACTTTATATGTATGATTGATCATTACTTTTTCCTTCTTAAAATCTCACCACATTCAATATTTTAATCCAATACAGGACGCATCTACCGAGAATAATTACGTTTGCTGATGATTTATGCTATTGTGTATCCAGACAAATTTGAGGGCGGTAAAGCTTCAAAGCTAATGCAGGTACTGCAGTACTATTAGTTATATTATGAAGCAACCATGGGCTTATGCTTCTAGTTACTAAAAGTGAAATGTTATGGCTTTTTTTCTTCTGTTTATTCTCAGTTGGCTAAATTAACACCAGAAGACATGCAAGTTGTGAACAATATGAAATATCTTGGAGGACCACCAAAAGTAAAAAGCAAAGCTCTGGTTTCTCGCTAAAATTTGATATTGGCCAAAAGGTAAACCGAGAAGCTTTTAGATAACAGAGGAAATTGGAGTAGGATTCTGCATTTAGCCCATGAATCAATCCTCATTCTTTTGCTGTCAGGAGAAAAATGCGGCAAGAAAAGACAGAACAGGAGAGGAAGAAGAAACTTGGCAACTTTTTCGATTTTTTCCTTTCGTAGAGGTTTTG